AGCTACAATTCATTTCTGACACTTGCAGTCAAGGAATCCAGGATCATGAAGACATAAACCCTGAATCTGAGGGGCTTCCAGTCTAGTAAGTGCATAATAGATCTTAGGTCAGAATGCTTTTGAGTACAGTAGATGTCATGCCCCCTTCAGCACTCTTTGTTTCAAGCCACCAGCCCTCCTTGTGACATACCGGGGGCACATAGTCCCCATTTCCTCACTGCACAGCAAGAACCTGGAGGAGGTGTATTTCTGAGCTGTTCTGTTACTTCCGGGGAGTGATGTATCACAGGTAAAACATAACGTATGATTTTAGCCACATAGCAATGGTCAGGGCTGATCTTAACAATAACATTAGAGCTCCTCTAGCTCTAAGTACTTGCTGGCAGATGGATTCTGCTACCACAAAGGCCACATACAACCACGTAACAAGTTAATGTGCAAGTCAATTTAATATTCTTACCAGAAAAAATCCTGCTCTACATTACTTTTGGCATTTGATTACATCGAAAAAGATTGAAATCAAAGGAACCAAAGCTCCAGTATAATTTAATGAGAAATAAATCTCTGACAGTATATAGTTTCATTGCTTTGAGGAGATAAGGCAGAGTAAGTTTAACTTTTTTCTAAATGGATATTACTGGGCCACTTTCTCATGCAGCCTCTGCACTGAAGTTGAAAGAGTTGTTAGCACAGTTGCCAATAATGGTTTTAAACAATATAAATACTTGCATGAAGATGGATCCTAATGCCCTCTTTGGAACTATTGTGGTCTGTCAGGTCAATAATACTCATTTAAAAAACTTTCTAAAAGTGTTTTCATACAATAACCCCTGAAGATAATGAAAGAGCTATTATGGTCTCTTGAATCAATAATTTAGGTTTTTAATACATACTTCAAAATTCATTTCCTTTCCTATGTCAATGTCTACTTAAAGTATTTCGATTAATTATTGTTAAGAGGAAGAGTTATAATCGGTTTGAACTTTATCAACTGTTATTTATCATATAGTTCTCATAACAGATTCCTTCTCTTAATATGTTGGGCTATATCACTACTTGCAGCTTACCACACTGCAAGATGGCAAAAAACGATATGCTAAAAAGAAGCAAGAATAAGCATTTGTGGGAAAAAAAGGATCTTCCATACCAACAACTTAAAAATTGGGCAAAAGCAAGTTAGTTTGCTCAACTGGGAAGGTTGTGGCAGATAATTTCAAAGTTTTCTGGATATTTTTGAAATGCTTAGTTTTATAAAATGATAAATATCAGAGATGTCAAATCTGGCCAAACAACAGAGGCATGATCAGTGGACTCAAAAGAGCCTTTATCAAGCTCTAATTTCACATTTATTTGATTTGTGAATGTAAGAAAGACTGTAGGCATACAGGCTATGCCTGACTTACGATGGTTTGATTTAGGGTTTTTCAACTTGACAATGGTGTGAAAGTGATACACATTCAGTAGAAACCATACCTGGAATTTTGAATTTGGATCTTTGCCCAGGTGCTCATATAAAGTGCCCTGACGTGAGACAGAGGCAGCGTGCAGTTCCCACAGCCACGCGGTCAGGAGGCTTAACAGCCCTGCTCTGGTAATCCTCTTGTGCCCACACACCATTCTGGTTTTCACTTTCACTGCAGGATTCAATACAATTACATGTGATAGTCAACACTTCGGTATAAAATAAGCTTTGTGTTCCATGATTTTGCCCAACTGTAGGCTAATGTCAGTGTTCTGAGCACATATAAGGGAGGCCAGGCTAAGCTGAGATGTCAGGTAGATTAGGGGTATTAAATGCATTTTCACCCTACGATATTTTCAATTTATGATGGGTTTATCAGGACATAATCCCATCATAAGTGGAAGAAGAATTTTAAGTATAGTTTACATATTTAGTATCTGACAATTGAGACTAAAAGTGCTTGGACTTCCACAGAAATTCTACCAATGTTTTAAGGACTAACTGGTTAAATTTATTCTGCAGGGAAGCACTAACAATTCAAAATAAGGCTATATTTACTTTTTAAACATCTTGTTTGTATGTATATATGCATGATTTAAAGTGTTGTCATTCTGTAATTTAACCATATGATTTTATGCCTCCTGCACGTAGGACGCTCATGAAAATGAGATGCCTGCTCTCCTTGCCTTTCTGCCCAACAGTATTTCAATAAATATTTCCTTCCACTTCCTCTTTATTGTGGTTTTATTAAAAAAACACCCTTTAGCTTAATTATTTAACCTTGGTTTATTTTGCTGGGTGGAAAGAAGCTAGCATTCTGCCCACTCGTTATTTGAATCTGACAAGATTCACAATTTCAGTGAAGCTGGGTTTTCTAAGCTGCTGGTCTGCCCCTGCGGGCTGCAGTGTGATCCTAAGCTCAGGGCAGCCAGGCTGGAGATGTGAGAGGTCACACAGCTGGGTAGAGAGAAAGGGTAGATGGAATGTGGAGTGACCTGAATCTGCAGCACGACAGGAAATGATGTGGGTTCTGGGATTGCAGTCAGAGGAACCTGAGTGGAAATGAAGCAGGATCATGAACAGAGGCTGTGTGGACTTTGAAAGGGAGGTAAGCGCTGCCTTAAAGACTCACGTTCTTTGAACTGGGCACAGAAGGCAGTAAATCATGGCTAATTCAGGGCCCGTAGCATAGAGAGACACCATGGTAGGAAAATGAAGACCAGTGCAACTGCCAATTGAGGGCAAATTCTGCCCCCATTCCTTGGTTGTTACCACCCCATTTACCTTATAAGATCTGTACTCCAGTTAGCAAGATTAGTCAATGAAATTAGAGCCTTTGACCTGATTCATTCATTGAGATTTATTGAGGGCTAACTATATTCCACGTCACAAGGGTTTGGGGAAATATGGCGAGCAAAGGCCAGCTGTAGCCCTCTGCCTTCATGAAGCTTCGAGAAAGAGACATTTATCAAAGTATCATAGACAGAAATGTAAAATTAGAACCATGAGAAGGAGAGGTAGAAATGAGGAAGAGCTAATCTGGTTGGTGAAGGCTGTCCTGGAAAATAAGAGTTTCTGGTGAAAGATGGAGAATTTTTATAAGTTAAAAATAAAGATAGTGTTAATGTTAATATTTCTGGTCATAACAGATAACACCATTAAACTTTTATTATACATTTGGGTGCTGTTTAGATGTAATGAGTCACTGAATCCTCATAGCAACTCTGTAAGGTAGGTGTTGTCATTAGTGTAATTGAGAGGCACAGAGAGGTTAAGCAACTTCCCCAAGGTCATACACTCATAGGGAGGAGGTGGAATTTGAATCAACACACTCTAGCTCCAGAGTCCTTGCTCTTAACCCTTACATGTGAACCTTCTAAGCAAATACAATCTGCAATTGTAGGTCCTCTGCCATTAGAACGTAATTGTAACAGTGAATAAAGTATTAAAAGTATTTAATACTTTTAATAAAAGTGAATAAAATTATTAAGTATTTTCTATGTGCCAGACACTGTTTAAAGCTTCTGATTATCTCAAAACAATACTTTGAGATAGGTTCTATTATTGCCCCTATTGTGCCAGTGAGGAAATTATAAACTGTCTCCAGAATTCTTGCTCTGAATCACTTTGTTATTCAGCTCTTCACTAAGTAGGTAATAGGTAGAGGTTCAGGACCCTTCTAATCACGCCTAGGGAGGGTGTCTGCTGTTTGCTTGAGGGTAAAGGATGTCCTAGAGCACTGTTTATAAATGGTTGGAGAGCCTGCTAGAGATGGTTCAGGTTGTACTGAAAAATTTTGCTTCAATATTATAAATAATTATATAATATTATAATGAATAATAGTAATTCATAATAAAGAAGAGGGTCTGGGAGATAGCCATAGATTAAAAGTGTCACTCTATAGACCAGCCTGTTGAGTAGATATGGAAGGAGTAAGCTTACATACCAATTAAACCAAAAGGGACCCATTGACTCTAAGAACCTGATCTCTCTCAATTACAGTAGCCTTTTGAAATAATTCTCTGAACAATCAACGGATTTTTAAAATATTTGACTGTTTTGAATATCTTGAGACATTTACAGACAAATTTAGCTCACAGGCATTATAGTACCACAGCGATCAAAAGCATCAGTTTGAGTTTCAAACTTTAAGTGAGAGATGTGTGCAATTTTTGAATCTGAAACAGAAATATTTTATTAGTTAATATTTGTGTTTATAATTTCATATTGCTATACATAATTCCAAAACAAGTCATCAGAGACAACACACATATATAACACCATACTTTTTCTAACATTAGATTCATATGCTTCTTTAAAAAGTTTAATAGAAAAAAGAAAATACTCCTGTCATGTTAAAACTTGACTCATTATTTTTGAGCTGCTATTCATAGAGTACATGATGGTTTTGAACACTGATTATATGACATCAGGGGGTCAGTATAAGTGAAAAGGATTGGATATTGTCAAGAGTATAACGGAACCTCATTGGTCACAATTAGTCTATATTAGTTTTCACACACCTAAAAATGAGAAGTTCTAGCTCTAGTGATTTAAGGTTAATTATTCATAATCCATTAGGTTAAATCTTTTAGCAAGAGCTGGCTCTTACTTACCATCAGGCCAAATGGAGCCATGAAATAGAAAACTCTTTTCTGAGAGTCCAAACCTTGGTTTGTTACAAATAGACTTATAGGTGTTCTCATCAGGTGAGAGGGAAATTTACATCTCTCTCACATAATCGGCGACCAGGGCTGGGACTGGTGAGCCCACAGGAATGGAGCCACGGATCTATCTGGCTTGGGGTGATCCTAGATGCCCGAGCCCTTCGGTAGGGTGGAGAGAAGTCAGTTTCCGCTAACTGAAAAAGATTCAGCTCCGTGTTAATTCAAGTCTATATTTTTAGTGGTGAAATTTCTTACTAGGGTGATTATTAACTTCTTAAACTTTCAATATTCAGTTTCTAAAGGGCCCAGATTCCAAATCAAGAAATTAGGAAAATCTGAGTTACAGAGACACATGCTAGTGCATATATGGGGTCCCGTGAAATGCACAATTACATTCTCTTTAAGACTTAAATCTGGAGATGTGTTACTACACAGTTGACAGGCATGTTCTTAAAAGACTTCTAATACCTTTCTGAGATCTTTGGAAGTCGGGGTGGGGAGGATTTCAGGCTCTGTTATAACAAAGTCGTAATCCCAGATCCTAACTCCTGTGCTTGTGGCCCCTCCTGGTCTCTCACAGATGACAGGTAGCTCTTGGTACACATTTGAGGAATAAATGTAAATATATTTGCACTTGACAACTGTTAGTCTTCCCCTAGAGAAATGAAGATGTACAGACATTAGAAAGATTTGTGGAAAAAGGTAACTTTTTAACATGTATATTAATAGAGATCCTCACTAATATTTTCTCTGTGAATAGCATGTGAATTGATTTTCCCTATAATTATTAGATTATTTCTAGCTTTTGAAAAAGCCATTTAAAAATCATTTTTAAATCAATTGCAAAAAAGTGGTAAAGACCTGTCTTTTTTTCTTCTTATCAGCTAGAATTTCTGAAGGAATCTTCCTCTAAGTGACTGATCTCAGAAATTCACAGACCTTTATTTAATCTATGTGAAAATAAAAGCCAGGTGCAGTATTTCTATCATGAGAGACATATTTCTTTCTCCTTCTTTCACTGCATTTGATCATGGACAATAAGATATATACATGTATAGAGACATGTTCACTTGCCTTTCCACAGATCAAATTCTAATATTTTGTCCATCATTCATCTTGACTATTTTGATTTTCACCTGGTTGATTTTCCCCATCTCATTTCTTTCTCTCATATCCACTTCAAAAGTTCTGCCCAGACTACCAATTTTTTTCTTTCTTCTTCTTTTAAATCAGTTATGACAAAAGGCTGTGAATTTCTACAGAGCTGTCCTTTTTTGAGGGAGTATTTCTTTTTTCAAAACACTGAGGGCATCCCATTTGTATTTGGGTTATGAAGGGATAATTTTTCTTCAGTAGAATCGCCTCTTCCATCAAGAGAAAAAACAGATAGCTCCTTCCCTTCCCACTCAAATTTTAATACAGAAAAGCTTCAACATAGATCTATTGATAGACAGTTGGATCCTTAGTAAGTCACATATTTGCTAAAAGAATTCATAGGATTTACTGAATCAGTAATTCCTACTTTACTCAATATTCTTAAAAGTAAGGATGGAAGCAGAGCATTGAACTGTGTTTTAATATGATGATACTGGAGATGTTTATGAGGGTCATGTTTGAATTACATATTCTTTCATGCTCAGAAATCAGAGGGGAATAGTAATTACAGTCGACACATCAACTTTTTTAATTCTGTGAAGCAAATCTCTCTGGAAAAATGAATATTAATAATTAGACAATATCCAATTAGGGGCTAAAGTCTAGAGCTAATCCCTCAACTCAAAAAATCCACAAAGCACATTTAATAGTAGAAACTTAAGTTAACAAACCCTGTGAACATAAAATTAACAGTAATAGTAAAGGATGAGGGATTTCAGCCCCCTCCAACTAAGAACCTATCGGCATCATTTTTTTCTATTTCTCAGGAATTCATTTTCGGCACAAAACTTTAATATTGCTCTTGGAAACAAACATAATCTTTTCACATCAGTTAAGGAACACATTTTGATCAATTCTTAAATAGGAGCATTTCTTTCTCTAAAATTAAATGAGTTGCACCAGGTCACCAATAGATCTCAGCGGAATGAACTTTGAGTGGTGGAATGAATCTGGAGCTGACATGTCTGTGCCCTGCTCATTGCCTCCATCACTTCATCTTCTGCCAGTTACCCAGGGATCTGATGAGACTCTTTCTGTCTTTGGTCCCTCATTGACCCTTGACTCAGCCAAATGGAAGGGAAATATAAGAGGCAGGAGAAGTCCTGGAAATAGAGTCACTTCCCTTCAATCCATGCCAATGGATTTATTTCTCTTTGGATCTAGTCCAGAGATTTTCTTGACTCTTACAATGAAATAACATATTTTCATATCACTCTCCTTCATCTTGCTGGAAACTGCAGAATATCAGGGACAGATCTGAAAACTACTTATGTGTCCTTGTAGACCCAAAACTGGGAGCAACCCTCCATGTTTCAGTGTGTACATATAAATAAAATTGACCAAATGTTACTGGGGAGGAAGGTATTCATTCAGTTTCTGAACAATAAAAGAGAAAAAGGTTTCAATATATAAAGGCTTAAATTATACAGTGCAAATAATTAAACACAGGCAAGAATAATTTACAAACGCTTCCCCTTATGTAGAATTCAGTATACTGATGGTTTTGTCTCACCAAATCAGAATTCATTAAGAAGTGCTAAAGCTTCATTATTAACCAAATCCCATCCTCCCCCAATTAAATACTAAAGTTACTTTTCAGTTTCAGAATTTAGAAATTATTTTCATGGATAATTTTGAGTATGCTTGATTGTTTTCTTGAAAGTGTCTTGGAAACAAATTTCTAAGGGATACTAGGATCAAACTTTAAGTTGGGCCCTTTCTTTTCAAAATGAGAATATCTGTTCATTTGGTTACCGAAGGTCTTCCGCTCTTCCAAACTGGTGATAAAGAGAGGGGGAAATAGTTTTATCTTCTATCCCTTCTGTCTGTATGCCTGTGACATTTCACAAAATGTCTATTTTAGCCAATACAAAAATTTTACCTCAATAGTTTTTAAAATGCAGATTTAAAACAACAAAGAAACACCAGTTTTAGCCTGATGATTAGCAAAGCTTAAGAATGATAATTCTCTACGTTGGCTACAGTGGTGGAGAAATGGGCATAATTATACACAATGGGCAGGATTTTGGAATTAGTACAGCATATGTCTGTGGAGCAATTTAGCAACATCTGCCAAAATATATTAAAATGCACCTAGCTTTTGACCCAGAAAGTCCACTTTGAGGAATTTCTAAGGAAGGTATCAGAGGTTTGTATAAAGATATTTATCCAGAGATTTTTCTTGTGCATTTATTTATGGTAAGAAACTTTACAAAGGTATCCAATAATAGTGGATGAGTTAACCAAGCTGTGTACATCTGTCATGTAAAAATCATATTGCATGAGAGTTCTGAGATGAGAAAATGTTCACTATTTTATGCAGTGGAGAATGGGTCTCTAAGACAGTTCACAGAGTAATGCTGTATACCTCTAGTGAGATCTGGAGAAATAATACACCAAAATGTTATCAGTAGTTTCATCTGTGTAGATTTCAGATAGATTCTTTCTTTTTTTATTTCTTTAGTTCTCTTTTTTCTTTATCTCTTCTTCCCATACTTCCTTCCTTCCCTTCTTTTTCTTCTTTCTTCTAATCATCTTTATTATTGGGAAATTCAAAATATGCCAAAAAGATTACTGGGTATCTCCAAAGGAAACTATGCATTGTTTAGAGCACACTTTTCTGTGTTATCTTATTTTAGTCTTTTGTCACCTTTGAGTTATTTCACAGCTCTGTAGATTGTAGATAACTGAGAGCAAGGCAAAAAAATATTGTCTTTAGACATACCAATTAATTCTGTCCAGTGGAATTTCAGCAGTCAGCCCTGCTTTCTGTTAGCAAAACCAGTTTGGTGACCATTTGTAAATTCCCTTCAACATTCCTTTCCTTCATATAAACCTGTGCTTCTTTAACTTCCCCTTTGAACTGGTTGTGGTATCTTTCCTGATTCTCTCGTTTAATTAACAAGGTAAATAAAACATGTGACAAGTTTCATCTTATATCTGTGTAGGAGTCAGGATCTTACTTTTCCAGGCTTTAACACAGGCTTCCTACTTTGATATATGGAGCATGTATTACTTTGTTATCAGAAAAACAAAATAACAGCAAGTATGATTTAAAAGAGTAGTTTGTGCTACAGTCTAGAATTACAATGTCGACCTTATATTTTCATAGAACATTTCACATCATATTTCCTTTATATCTCTAAAAATAGATTTAATAGGCACTTATTGAATGCATAGTATTTCCGGATGAATATGCTAAATTGGAAAGTGTATAAAGATAAATAACACTGTGGCCATCATGTTCAACATCTTGTAATATATCTACTATTTTTATAATGAATATCAAAATATCTACTATTTGCTTTTTAAATTTTTTAAAAATCAGCTATTTCAACATCTGCCTATTCAAAATGGCTTTGGCCATTTGGGGCTTAATCTCTATACGACAGAAATAATGTGATGCTGAGAATCACAGAGGCTGCTCAGGTGCAGCTGTTGTTGATTTACAGAGTGGCCACCAGCAGGTTCCTATGGTTTTACATATTTACAAAGTGCTATTTGCCTTCAGAATACAGCCATTAACATATAGTCTATAATAGAGTGACGAGCTCGATATGGTGGTAATAAAACAGAGTAAGATACATGACTTTGGGTAGGGGAAGCAATTCAACTGTGGAGTATGCATAATATATAATGCACACTGGGTCGGAGAAAATACTGACGCTGGTCATCCCAGAATTTGTTTCTATAATAAATCTTTCATGTGTACAGAGTGAATTTTTTTTTTTCATGGTCAAAGTCCCCAACATTGAAAGACGCATGGAAGAACATTTGCTAGGGGTTTGGGAAACCTGCGTCTTCCCATAACGCTGGTTTTCGTGAGGAGGAGTTTGCCCTGATTGCCTCTTGCTTCCTGACGCTCCCTTATTCCCTCCCCTGGAGATGGAGAGAGGGCGGGCGTGGGTCAGCCGGGGGCAGTAAGCTGCACAGGAAAGATGGCTTTTCTTTGTCAGGATGAATGGCTGGACCCGCAGCAGCAGTTCTGGGAAGCTCTTGGGTCTGCAGGCTTTACTGCGTGGAAAATGTGCTGCTTCTCTTCCTCACTTGTAGCTGATTGGCTCTGGATGCTGCCATCTGACTTTCGGGTGCCGTGCGTGCCATCTTCTAAGGGCAAAGGCAAGCACCCAAAGCAAGCATCACCGTATATCCATAGTTAACAGAACACAAACTCTGGGAACTCAGGTGCCCTCCTCAGGAGGGAGCCAGCCAAGCAAACGTGGGGTCATAACATTCGTAGGTCATTAGATTACTTAGTATCAACGGCCTCACTCTTTTTAGAGCCCCTAGTTAAGCATCTCTAACTTAGTCCACAAGACCTAGAAATAAATACTTGACACTCCAATATTCACAACACTGTCTTTGGTTTCAGATGTACTTGTTGATGCTGCTCTGTTGAAGCATAAACTCTATGAACAAGTGGCCCCGCAGTTGGAATCCCTTGGTTTTGACAGTCTTACAGATCTCACTCTTTTGTAACATCAAGTAGACACAAATTTC